ATCAGCAAGTAAATAACTCATGACTCCCTCTCGACTATCTTTTGAATGAGTGAGCTGTTTACGCGAGATTCACTCAAAACAGATCATTTGAATCAGTCAGTTGTTTACTGGAAACTCACTCTGAACAAACCATTTGAATCAGTGATGGCTTAGAATATTTCACCCAATCAGAGTAATTAGAAAAGGACTAATGTTCCAGAGCAGAAGCTGAGTTGTTGCCTGAAGATTCACTCTGAACAGATGATCATTTTTATTCAGTGAGTATTTGACTCAAGACTCACTATAAACAAATCATTTGAATCAGTATAATAGTTGACTCAAGACGTGCTGTTAATAGATCTTTTGATTCTAAAGAATCACTGACTAAATAATCACTCCAAACAGATCATTTGAATCAGTGAGTTGTTTACTCGAGACTCACTCAAAACAAAGAATTTGAATCAGTGAGTTTTTGACTCAGGATTAACCCTAAACAAATTATTCGAATCAGTGAGTTGTTTACCAGAAACTCACTCTCAATGAATCATTGTAATCAGTGAGTTGTTAACTGGAGACTCACTTTGAACAGATCATTTGAATCAGTGAGTTGTTTACTGGAGACTCACTCAAAACAATTAATTTGAATCAGTGAGTTTTTGACTCAGGATTAACTCTAAACAAATTATTTGAATCAGTGAGTTGTTTACCAGAAACTCACTCTCAATGAATCATTGGAATCAGTGAGTTGTTAACTGGAGACTCACTCTGAACAGATCATTTGAATCACCGAGTTGTTTACTAGAAACTCACTCTAAACAAATCGTTTGAACAGATTAATTGAATCAGTGAGTAGTTGACTAAAGATTTACTATGAACAGATCATTTGATTCAGTGAGTATTTCAAGACTCACTATAAACAAATCACTATAAACAAATCATTTGAATCAGTCAAGTGTTGACTCAAGACTCACTGTTTACACATCTTTTGAATCATTGAGTAGTTGACTAGATACTCACTCTGAATGGATCATTTGATTCAGAGAACAATTTACTTAAGATTCACTGTTAATGAATCATTTGAACCACTGAATGGTTGAATCAAGATTCACTGTTAACAGATCATTTGAATCAGCAAGTAAATAACTCATGACTCCCTCTGAACATATCTTTTGAATGAGTGAGCTGTTTACGCGAGATTCACTCAAAACAGATCATTTGAATCAGTCAGTTGTTTACTGGAAACTCACTCTGAACAAACCATTTGAATCAGTGATGGCTTAGAATATTTCACCCAATCAGAGTAATTAGAAAAGGACTAATGTTCCAGAGCAGAAGCTGAGTTGTTGCCTGAAGATTCACTCTGAACAGATGATCATTTTTATTCAGTGAGTATTTGACTCAAGACTCACTATAAACAAATCATTTGAATCAGTATAATAGTGGACTCAAGACGTGCTGTTAATAGATCTTTTGATTCTAAAGAATCACTGACTAAATAATCACTCCAAACAGATCATTTGAATCAGTGAGTTGTTTACTCGAGACTCACTCAAAACAAAGAATTTGAATCAGTGAGTTTTTGACTCAGGATTAACTCTAAACAAATTATTCGAATCAGTGAGTTGTTTACCAGAAACTCACTCTCAATGAATCATTGGAATCAGTGAGTTGTTAACTGGAAACTCACTTTGAACAGATCATTTGAATCAGTGAGTTGTTTACTGGAGACTCACTCAAAACAATTAATTTGAATCAGTGAGTTTTTGACTCAGGATTAACTCTAAACAAATTATTTGAATCAGTGAGTTGTTTACCAGAAACTCACTCTCAATGAATCATTGGAATCAGTGAGTTGTTAACTGGAGACTCACTCTGAACAGATCATTTGAATCACCGAGTTGTTTACTAGAAACTCACTCTAAACAAATCGTTTGAACAGATCAATTGAATCAGTGAGTTGTTGACTAAAGTTTTACTGTAAACATATCATTTGATTCAGTGAGTATTTCAAGACTCACTATAAACAAATCACTATAAACAATCACTGAATCACTGAGTGGTCAACTCAAGAATCAGGTACAGTAAAAAAACTAAGTAGTTCAATACAGTGTTCCCTTTGTAGTAACACTAGAGCTTGAGTAAGTTGTTTACCGGAGACTCACTCTCAATGAATCATTTGAATCAGTAAGTATTTGACTAAAGACTCACTCTGAACAGATCATTTGAATCACTGAGTTGTCGACTCAAGAATCAAGTACAGCAAAAAAAAAAAAGAAAACTTAGTAGGTTAATACAGTGTTCCCTTTGTAGTAAGCACACTAGAGCTTAAACAGGGACTCACCGAGGGCATCTGGCTGGACAGCAGGTGCCCGTCCTGCGCCAGCATGTTGGTCATCATGAGCGCGGGCAGCTCCGGGTACGAGTATGGGTTGATCAGGCCATTGTGAGGGATGGAGTGGCACAGGTAGCTGGACTCCGGGTCCATCAGGTGCAGCAGCGGTGGCTCCGGGTGATTGGGCGGTGTGATTGGAGGAATCTCGTAATCCTCGTCTCCTCCTCCGCCTCCGCCCCCACTGCCCCCTCCCTGCCCTGAGTAACTCTGCTGGAGAAAACACACACAGATGCTGTTACTATTAAGAACGTCATGAACTCATTTTTACGAAGGGTACAGTATGTGAGTTACATTTGAATGCCATTGAAATGCATATTAAAAAATGTCAGCGACACAGTGGCTCAGTGGTTAGCACTGTCGCCTCACAGCAAGAAAGTCGCTGGTTTGAGTCCCAGCTGGGCCAGTAAGGATTTCTCTGTGGATTTTTCAGGTTCTCCTCGTGTTTTTGTGGGTTTCCTCCGGGAGCTCCGGTTTCCCCCACAGTCCAAACACATGCGCTGTAGGGGAATTGATGAACTGAATTGGCCTTAGTGCATGAGTGTGTGTGTGTGTGTGTGAATGAGAGTGTATGGGTGTTTCCCAGTACTGGGTTGTGGCTGGAAGGGCATGCGCTGTGTAAAACATATGCTTGAATAGTTGGCTGCGGCAACCCCTGATAAATAAGAGACTGATGCAACTTATGCAAAACATTAATCTATCAGAATTTGCTAATGTGTGATACACTAGAATACCATAAAGATATAATAAAATATTTGTTAAAACAAAATAATATTGCAAAAAAGTAGTTAAATGTTTTTTTTTAATGATATTGTAACATCACTGATATTTGATTATAATTATTTTTTTAAATCAAATCCAATAAAACAATAAAATGCAGCTGTTCAATAAAATAAATAAAAATACTTGACTTTTATAATTTACTATTAAAATAATTTTAAATAAAATAATGCAAATTAATTACATTAAAATGCAAGATGTGCTATTTCGAATTATTATTTGTATTTTAAAATTAAAGTAAATATTAATTTAAAATAAATGAATAAAAAACAACATACTTCCTCTGTACCTTTGAATAATATAACACTTAAATAAAATAAACAACGTTTAAACAAATAAGAAGAAAAAAATAAAACATGTTCAGATTAAATAAAATAAATCAAAGAAATTAATCTTTTTTAAAAAGAATGTGTGACGTGTATATATATAATAAAATACAAATAAATTAAATAAAAATGCAATGTGTTAAAATAAAATAAGTAGATTACTGGTCAAAAAAGTTTGGGGTCAGTTTTTTATTTCATGTTTTTTTTTTTAATTACTAATTTCCTC